TGGAAAAAGTCCTAAATTGACATTTTTTTCTTTTATAACTTTAAAAATCTTATTCCATTATCTTCTGGCATCTATCACTCATTTTCTTCCTTATGTCAAGATATAGTTTGGGGTCATGTACCAAAAATATTCACAGAATAATTTATAAAATCTAAAAACCTAATATGTTTTAAAGAAAGAAAACTATTTGGAGGTTTAATCACATTTGATCTAATTACCTGATGCAAAGTCCACATCTATGTAAAACAATCATGCCATAAAATATGGCAAAATCATCCCTTTTCTCTCTCTTCCTTGATTATTTTTTCTAGTGTTCTCCAAATTGAGGTACATGTGAAATTAATCCATTGAAGTGTGTGAATAAAATACTATAATTTCAATTTATATGTTTTTTTTTAATTTATATGTTTTATTTCATCTTTAAAATTTGTCTATCTTAATGTATGATTTATATAAACTATATTATTATAGTAGAATATAAATTATACATGAATTGTACTCAAAAGAAAGTGTTGTAAACACTACTTTACACTGTAGAAAGTAAGTGAAAAATCAATGTCAGTGCAATGTCTTTTTCCAAGAATATGAAAGCATTGATTAGTTAGCATGCGAGACTTCCAAACTTAAATTCCCAGGATCACAGGCTATAATATCTTCTAGCTACACTATTGCATTAAAGTGATTTAACACAGACTAATAGATCTTTGAACATTCACAAATCTATGAAGCTTTTTTCCCCAAAGACCATTTAGAGCTGTGATTCTTAACTAGAACTGAGTATCCAAATTAACAGAGGAAAAATGTAAATGCACACTTGATTAAGCACACCCAGAGATTCTGCTTCATGAATACAGTAGTTCTCAAGAATGTTTACATTTTGAAAATTTCTAAGTTAATTCTGACATCAACCTTCAGTTGAGAACAACTGGACTGCATATGTTAATTACTCAGTGTCTCCAAAATCTTTCCTAAGTAAGTCAGTAGTTATTTAATGATGAGTATAGACCAGGCTTTGTACTGGAGACTATAGCTTTACTTAGGAAATGAAAATATGTTTGACTCAAACATAAATACGTTCGACTAATTTTACTTCTCTTTTGTTTACTAATTTGATGGTTTAGAAAAGTAAATTTAAAAAGCTCGGGAGCATACATGTATATAAATATAATATCAGATTAAGGAATGTTCACAACTCACTATCCTTGCTAACTAATAAAAAAGTATTATTTTTAAAATAAATATTATAATGTATATCCTCAGTAGACAACATAATTATTACCAGATCAAATTGGCACTTTCCAAATGGAACATATCATGGATCAACTTCTTCTGTGTGTAAGAACAATTCAAAATACAGATAAACTGTTACATATGCCACTATCACACATCATTAGTTGTTTGATTTTATGTAAGTACCGAGAAAACTACAAAATGAAGATTTTTTTCAAAACTTATTTAGTGAATGTAGAAAATATGTGGGTTTCTTAACATTTTAGACTTTTTCACTGAAAAATTGGAGGTATAATGGTTGGATTTACTGTTCTATGTAATTAAATAAAATATTTTATATATTTTAGAATATGTGAAATTAATGTTTTTATTTATCTTTTGTTCCATTATTTTTGTTGAAGTTTCTGGTAAAAATATGCTTTTATTCATATATAACTTGATTTAGAAGAAAAATGTGATATGAATTTTAAGTATACATTTTTAGATAATAGAAATCAGATAATTCATAAAATTTTTGTTTTATTATTGAGAGCTTATTAATAATTACTAATTAATAGTAATTAGTACTATTATTATTATCCATAGTACAAATTCAATTAAAGCATTTTCTTTTTTTTAACAGACAAAAAGTAAACATCAAAGCATATGATAATTCCATGCCAGGTAAGAAATTTTAGTCTTTGGAGTTCAATATATTTTAGATTATATTTGAAAATAAATTTATGAATAAATTACTAGTGTCTTCCATTCAATATGATAAAGTATAAAATGTCTTGAATTTTTGTTAAAATTTAGGAAAATCATGTGTGAATGTGTATGTCCATGCTGGTATGTGTATATGTGTAAAATATTTCAGGCCTTGATGTGAGTTTGTACACATATTTTAAAATATAATATTTAATATGCTCTTCTTCATTATAAAAAAACAAATTTAGTTTCATAAGGCTCCTTTGTGTTTAAAATTCATTATAACAAAATGAAAAATAGAAAAGGAAAATACAGTTAGAACGGTGAAAGTGGATGATCCATTTGTTATACAAATACAACTTTAGGAAAGTTCTTCTTAGTAAACTGAGCTTAAATTTATCTTCACTGGTACAATGTTTACCCATTTGTTCTAGTTCTTCCTTCAAGAAATGCATAAAATAAGTCTCTAACTTTGTTATTAAGAGAATAGACACTGGACCCAAAATATCTGTTTGAATTTTAAATCTTATACTGTATGATTTTGATCAAATAATTTAAACTCCCTCAGTGCTTTATTTTTCTACATCTGTAAAACAGAGGCAATTATAAATTATGCTAGAGGCCTGGTGCACAAAAATTTGTGCACTCGGGAGGGTCTCTCAGCCCGGCCTGTGCCCTCTCGCAGTCTGGGACTCCTTGGGGAATGACCTGCTGGCGGCTTAGGCCCACTCCACAGGGGATTGGGCCTAAGCTGGCAGTCAGACATCCCTCTGGCAGCCAGGGAGCCCTCAGGGAATGTCCACTTGCCAGCAGGGAGCAGGCCTAAGCTGCAGTCGGATATCCTTAGCGCTGCCGATGAGGCAGGAGAGGCTCCCACCACCACTGCTGTACTGGCAGCTGTCAGCCTGGCTTGTGGCTGAGCAGAGCTCCCCCTGTGGGAACACACTGACCATCAGGGGGCAGCTCCTGCATTGAGTATCTGCCCCCTGGTGGTCAGTGTGTGTCATAGTGACCAGTCATTCCCAGTCATTCTGCTGTTAGGGTCAATTTGCATATTGCCCTTTTATTATATAGGATTATCTAATACAAAGTGTTGTTTGAGGATTAAATGAGGCGATCTGTATAAAGTGCTTAAAACACTGTCTGATACATAGTAAGCACTATTTTAAGTTAGCAGTACAACTATTCTATAAATGCTTTATTCTTCTTCTATATAACATCTCCTTAAATATTTAAAAATAGAGAGCACAGTGTCTCCAGCTTCAAAACTGTCCTTAGTTACCTTACCAGTGCTTCTTTTCGCAGAGCTACCCCATAATGTGATCCTCCTGATCACTCTATTCAGGAAATACCCTAAAATGTGTATATGTTCCTTTAGTAAATTGAATTAAATTTATTTGGGCAATAATAGTTAATAAAATTATATAGGTTTCAAGTACACAATTCTATAATACATCTTCTCTATATTACATTGTGTATTCACCGCACAATGTCAAATCTCCTTTTTTGAAAATAGAGTTCACAGAACTGAATGGAGTATTTTGGTCTGTTGCCCTAATTTTTGTGTCTTGGAATAACACTGAGGTCAGAGGAGTGCTGAAATAAACAATTAGATTTAATCAATTGAGATTTTTACTATTTACTTTATGTTCAGCCTTGTGCTAGCTATTGTGGGAACTATACAAGTAGTCATATTGTCTGCAACTTAACCAAAAGGACACAAAAGTAGTAAACCAAAATAGAGACTATTATGAAGATGTTTGAAAATAGTGAATCTTCCTCTATTTTCCATTCCTACTGTTGTACTATTTTAACTATTATTATTTAAATATCTATCTGTAAAATGGGTTTAATCTAGAAAATTAAATTATATGTGGTGATGGAAGAAGATTTGAGGATTAAATGATGTGGTGGGCACACAATGCAATATACAGATGATGTATCATAAAATTGTACACTTGAAAACTATCTTATCTTATTAACCATTGTCACCCCAATAAATTTAATTATTTTTTAGATTACAAATGCCATTTTTAAACATAGTTATTGCACATAGGGATATAATATTTTATGGAAAAATCTCATTGAAGTCCCTAATTGATATTCAAAGAAACTACAAACTCCAGAAAGAAAAGGGATATTTTTAGTTATAACTTAGTTTAATTTAAACAATATAGTTCTTACTCATGAATATCTGTGTTTATGGAAGTATGCCTGCTAATTGTAAATTATTTATTGCCTTCTCTTATGTTAGTCAGAGAATCAAGCAGAAAATTATGGAATCAAGAATGCTTCACTTTAACATTTCCCAAACCACCTCAGCCAGGTAGAAAAAAGAGATCAAGACCTTCAGAATTACAAATCACAGTTCCTGTAAGTACTGAGAAGGGTATTTTAAAACTAAATCTAAGATAATACATTATTTAAATATAGATAAACATATGTAATTTGAAGTTTACTAACTATTGGTGGTAGATATTTTAAAATGTACAATTCTCCATAAATCAGGTCCCCCTCATCTGTTTCAGATCAAACTTTTATTTATATATGGCTCTCCATTTCAACAGCATTCTATAGCTAAAGAAACAGGCAAGCTAGATAATCAAATGTTGCAAATGGTGGGATATCTCAGAAAATTTTTACCAGCTGCAAAAACAAAAATTTTGAAACTTAGAACAGGAGCTGCTCTCTTGATGAGGTTTCAGAGCCTCTCCCTTTACCTTAATCTGGCTCTAATGATACTAGATACTGGGAGGATCAAGTTGTTTACTGCTTTTATAAAGTGGAGTTATCAGCAGCCATAAGAAGGACTAGTTAGTTCTCAGAGGTCAATCCATGCGGCTATCAAAATATGTTTTAAAAACATATCCAAAAAGCAGCATTACATTCAACATATTTATTCAAGAGCTATTCATTACATCTGCTGTGATTTAAGTGTATGCTTTTCTTTATCGTCTTCCTTTAATTACTTATGACCAGTTCATTGACTGGTGATGACTCTACTGAATAGTTGAAAGAATGTAAGAAGTAAATGTAAAATTAATCTATGAATCCACTATGACAAATGTTGGGTGGGAGGTAAAAAAAACTACACTACTGCTACACAAATTAATGTGAATCAAACATTTGTTTTATTCTATGTCTTTGCTTTTGACAATACTTCACAGCAGGGCTCATAGGCTTTTAAGTTGATCAGAGACCTTGAAAGCAGGAGTAGAAATGATGCTTAGCCTGAAGCCTACAGCTATCACAAGAATTGGCATGGCAATCTTGATGAGCATAAACTTATTTATTAACTAACTTGAGGGAAAAAGGTACACAAAATGTTCCAAAAGGTATCTCCCATATTGGGGTCCAAAATGAACCCACTATCAATTGTAAATACAGGCCCTGAAATATCATGGATCATTGTTGGTCTGCTTCAATCCCAACATAAATCAATATATGAATAACATTTCTCCTAAAGTAATTTTATTTGCAAAGTAGAGTTAGCTCATATAAACACATATAGGACACTGAAAAAAACACACACCAAAAATAAGTTTTAAATGGATGGTTAATAAGAATCCAGACTTATTTTCAATTTTAATATATAATTGTTTTTTATTTCATGAAAAATTTTAAATGAAATTTATTGGGCTGACATTGGTTAATAAAAGTATATAGGTTTCAAGTATATAATTCTATGATACATTATCTGTATATTGCACTGTCAAAAATTCTTGTTGTTATTCTAACCAATCTTTTTAGAGATATAATAAAAGAAAATTAGAGGAAGTCCATAAGCCAGCTCATATATGGATGTGGCATTTTTTAAGAAAAAATTTCCAAAGGCCATCTAATTACTTCACTCTCAGGAAACAGGCTCTATTTAGGCATCCCTGCACTCTTAAAGCCCATCCTGAAAAATTGGAAGATAACAATAAAAAAATAACATTTAAGAGAGATTCCAAGAAAAATACTCGCCCACATGAGACAATTATAGAATCCAAGAAAACAGGAAATGATAAAAAATCTAAAATAGGAGACAAAGAAGATAAAACTCCATCAAAATCATCACATGAAAGTGAACTATCTAAGAAGTCAAAGTACAAATCTGGAACAAATCCAAAATCCAAAGATTCTCAGACAGTCTTAATGATGCATCCAAAAAACAGTAGAGCTCTCAAAAATTCCAAGGATACAGATATTGAACCCATATGTACAAAAAAGGGTTCTAAGAGCTCAAAGAACAATTCTAATGCCAAATCTGAGGCTTGCTCAAAAAATAGTTCCAATATGGATTTAATGCTATATTTACAGAAGTCTGGCACTGAATCTATGGAATTTGATATGTGGTTAAAGAATTACTCACAGAATAATTCAAAGAAGTCTTCAAAGAAGGAAGCAAAAAGCTCCGATGCTGAATCTTCAGATTCAAAAGGTTCAAAGAAGGATAAAAAAAGTGCAAAGAAAACCAAGAAGAAGAAAGCAAAGGACACAGAGTCTACTGATGCAGAATCTGGGTCTGAATTGGAGTCAAAAAAAAGTAAGGAAGAGTCAAAGAAAAGTAAGAAAGCTTCAAAGAAAGATGATAAGAAAAAGGATAGCAAGAAGGAAGCATTGTCAACTGACAATTATCCTGAATCTGAAAGGATTTTAATAAAGGTTGAAAAAGTTGAAACAATTAATAAGAAAGGGCCAAAGAAAAGTGACAAAAAGGAGTCTCCAATGAAGGCTGAAGAGTCTACTGGAACTGAATCTGATTTGGAATCAAAAAAGGATAAGAAACATGCAAAGAAAGCTAAGAGAACTTCAAAGAAAGATCTCAAGAGAAAGGATACAGTGAAAAACGTAGAATATACTGGTGCTGAATCTAATGTGCCTTTTAAGAAAGACACAAGAAAGCCTGGAATAAGCAAAAGTTCAGATGCTGAATCTGAAGAGTCAATGTATAAAGCTGGGGCTAAAAAAAGAGAAGTTGATGAATCAGATGCAACATCTACAGAATCAAAGAAGGAAGCACTGGAAACAAAAAGAAGTGTTAAAATGTCACTCAAAAAGACCACGTTTAAAGGAAGAGGAACAAGCACAGTTACAGGTAGAATTCCTCCATCAAGAGAAAGTTCACTACCATCTTTTTGTGAGCCTTTCCAACTATCACCTAAGATCAAACATCGTTGTCAGTGCAAGATGGATCCTCCACAACCAAAACCAAGATATGCTCCTTTGGTATGTTTACTCATTTTATTTTAGAGACATATATTATAAATGAAAGGTATTTTAAAGATTTGAATTCCTATTTTCTCTAAAGAATAGTCTTCTTTTACTAGAATATTGACAAGTTTAGGACTCTCAGGTAAGAAAGACAAAGAATACTTCAAAAACATTAAAAATAGTTGCAAAACCAATGTCAAAAGTTAAGAATAATAAATAGACTGGAGCATAGAGAACTTGTTTGTGATTTGAAAAAAACACTTAAAATTAATTGTAAGGGGAATCACATTGTAAAAGTAGTTAACTGGTCTATACTTAAGAAAAAACAAAAATGAAAGTTGACTAAAACTTGTACAGAGGCAGATTTGAGTAAGATATAAATACATTTTCTAGGAAATTGCTGAATATAGTAAAAAACATAACCGATAGCGAGACAGAGCTTGTTGGAACTAAAACATACCAGAATTCAGATAGGCAAAATATTACTTATTTAATCCATAGCTGAACTAAACTTCTTCATGAGACATTATTCTTACCGATGATCAGAAAAAAAAGTTAACTTGCAAGAAGTAATTCGATCTCCTCTGGTTTATAAATGTTTCTTTCAAGTTAGCTCAGTCTCTTGGGATAAATATTCCATAAATTAAAATTTTCCATTTCTGCCCACCTCTTTCATCCTCCTTCACCCAAAATCTGGCTGTAAGTGGAAGCTTAAGTAGACATCTCTCTTTGGTTAGAGCTGCTTCTGAATCCCATGTTGTCCTCCCAGTTTTCTCTGGTCATTGGTTGAGGTGTAGCACATATGCATGGTTACAGTGTATCAGCCTGTGTTTCTCTGCTTTCTCACACAGTGTTTTTTTTTGGTCTATTTTCAGTATGATATGGCTAAATCTGCTAAAATGAGAGAATCTGTAGATGTGCATGGGTCTTGACCTTGAGCTTCTAATTTTAATTTCCTCCTCCCCTTTCTCTACTTCTTCACTGTCCTAGTCTTCTTTTTTTTCCTTCTCAAAGGCCTTCAATTTCCTCTTCTAATCATGGTGGAATTTCCATTTGCTTTTCATACATTATTTTGGAATTTATACATTTCTTTTATTTCTTTCAGAAAGTGTGGAATTTTAGGTCCATTTTGTCCTACTGGATTCAAAAAGTCAGCTTTGAGACTGGAAGCTGAAATAATAATGCCCTTGTTTAGAGGTCAATCGTAGAGGTTGAATCAACAGGTGGATAGTTAAAATGAATATATATTGGGACTACAAGAATATATATTGCTGGATAATTTTAAGGTAAATGAAAAAAAGTAACCTCAAATAGCTGTATTATTTTCCGAAAGCAGATATTATAAAAAATGAGTAAAAGTAAGGAAACAAGTTGGTGCCAAAGATAAGTTTTATTTATGGAAAACAACTTCAGGATACATTCTGGGCTTGTATCCATTCACCACCAAATGTCTTTAAAAACTTCCATATGCTTAGCTACCATCTAGTCAGACTTTTCCATCCTTACCACTTTTCAAGTTTGTCAAATATCTTCTTGGGACCACATCAACTGGTCTCTCCTCTCTCCTCATCCTTTTTTTATTGTTGACAGTATTAGAGATGCCCCCCTTTCCCCCTTTACCCACCTCCACCCAACCCCTGCCCTACCCCAGGCCATCACCACATCTTATTCTATAATCTGATAGCATTTATGCTTGTCTCTCCCTTTTTATAAAGCACTTACTTTACTTGACTCCATGCTCTCCTGTTTTTCTTCCTGCTTATTTATAGCTTTTCACTATCTTTATTGTATTCTCCCCTACCTAACATTTAATGAGGGAATTACCTAACACTTAGTCCTGATTTTCTATATCTACAATCCTTCCTTGGTGAGTTCATTAAATGCAATGATTCCATATACCATCTGTCTACTCATGAGGAGTACAAAATTATTACATGTAGCTCCAATCTTCCCATTGAGTTTTAAATTCTTATATCTAACTGTTGTGACAGAATGCATGGGAGAATGATCAGTCAGCACTCTGAGGGAGGAAAGTTTAACCTTTATTTCACAGATCTGCTAGTCCAGAGAAATTCCAGATCCAAAGCCTGAACTGAACTCGTGGGGAGGCTCTGACCTATATATCTCCTCCTGTGGTGGGCCCCTGAGGGTCCCCGCAATTCTGCCCAAGTTAGCTGTGGCAGGGCCCTGGGGTTAAGACTCTGCAACTCTGCCCAAGTCAGTCAGAGTGGGGAAGTAAGACTACAGTTTTAATCAGATACTGAACTAGGTTGCAAGCCCCCCCCCCCATTTTCCTTTTCATCCCCCCCTCTTGTTCCACAAGCTATTCTTAGCCTTGGGGATTACAAAAGATTCAGGAATTGGGGATAAGGTCAACGACCACTCTAACTACTTTCTGCTGAAGGGGGGTGATGAAAAAGGGGGTTCAGTATCCCGAGTATTCACCATCTTCCCCAAGGGGTTCATTGGAGTAGCAAGGACAGAGAAGTTCTCCCTGTACCAGTCTGAGGTTCTGGCAACACTTGTATGAAGACAGAATAAAACTGTTAGGAAAAAAAAACCACAATAATTATCCAGATAGGAAGGGATAAGAAGATTCAGGTCGGTCAGCTGAATCCACTGTCTTGAAGATGATCTGCAGGGGGTGGTTCAGGTCAGAGGTCCCCTTCCACTCTGGATGCTGATTGTCTAGCTGGTGAGCTGCTTTTACCTGGGTGTTTAGTCCTGCAACTTTGAGAGCTGAGAGGGTGGTTAGTATTGACTGGATAAGGTCCCTTCCAGGTTGGCTTAAGGGGTTCCTTTTTCCAATCTTTTACCCAAACCTGGTCCCAAGGCTTGTGAGGGTACACAGCTGTTCCTAGAGAGATGGGCAATCGATCAGTAACCCATCTGTGGACTTCAAGGATAGTTTTCCAAAATCCTTGTAGCTGTTTCTGAATTTCTAAGTTCCTTATTTTCCCCAAATCTCCCTTTGGCTGGATTAAGGGAGGGGGTCTGCCATATGGAATTTGAAATGGAAAGAACCCTACCCTGGCTCTTGGGTCACAGTGCACCCATAGGAGCACAAGTGGTAAGATATCTGTCCAGGATAAGTTCGTCTCCTGGCATAGCTTAGCCATAGCCTGCAAGAGTCTGGTTCATGTGTTTCACTTTCCCTGAACTCTGGGGCCTGTAGGCTGTATGTAAATTCCACTTAATTCCTAAGGCCTTAGCTACCTGCTATACTGCCTCAGATATAAAGGCTGGGCCATTATCTGACCCTATGGTTAATGGCATTTTATACTGCGGAATTATGTCCTTAGTGACTTCTTTCACCTTCTCCATGTGGATACAATATGCCTCAATCCAGCCTGAAAAGGTACAAACAAAAACTAAAAGATATTTATTTCCTCTACTAGGCCCTATTTCTGTAAAGTCTACTTCTAGATGTTCAAAGGGAGCTGCCCACAGCGCTGAATTCCTATCAGTCCTACAGGACCCTGCCTTGCATTGTTCTGTGCACAGAGGAGGCAGCCCTGAGAGACTGAGGCGCATAAGGAGGAGGACACAGGCAATTAGATAGTATCTGCTTAAGATTCTAGAGCCGTCTTCCCTAAATGACTAAGTTCATGCTGCTGGAGGACTACTCTATGAGCTAACTGTTCTGGAACATAGACCCTATGATCTGGGAATATCCACCAACCTTCCTTAATTCTTTTACCCCCTTCTTTTTGGGCCATTTTTCTTCTTGAGGGGTGTATTTCGGAAGTTCAGGTAATTCAGGAACAAGCATGATCCGTGATGGCACTGCCCACTCCTTAGCAGCTAGCCTTGCCACTGTGTCTGTATGACGGTTCCCTTCTGACACTGAGTCTTTTCCTTTTTGGTGTCCTCTACAATGGATGACTGCTACTTCCTTCGGGTCCCAGACTACTTCTAGTAACTTCAAGATCTCATTCTGATTTTTGATTCCTTTTCCTCCAGCCATCAGGAGCCCCCTTTCCTTGTATATGGCCCCATGGATATACAGGGTAACGAAGGCATAGCACAAGTCAGTGTAGATGTTGGCGCACTTATCCTTACTGAGATTTAAGGCTCTGACTAGGGCCCAAAGTTCTGCCCTCTGCACTATCCTTCAGGCAGGGTCTGTGCCTCTATTATCTCAAAGTTTGATACCACTGTATACCCGGCTCATCTTTTTCCTTCATCTAGGAAGCTACTGCGGTCGGTGAATAATACTAAGTCTGGATTCTGTAGAGGCCTATCTGTTAGATCTGGCTGGCTGGAGTAAACCTCCTCTAGGACTTCTAGACAATCATGCTCAGAAATTGTGTCCCTCTGCAATGGGTAGGAAAGTGGCAGGATTAAGAGTTCTTACTGCCTCTAATCTTATTCGTGGGTTTTCACATAGGAGCCCTTGGTATTGAGTCATCCCAGCATGAGTCAGCCAATGTTGCCCCTTAGCTTCCATTAGGGTGACAACAGCATGAGGCACTTTAACATTTAAGTTCTGTCCCAGAATGAGCTTGTCTGCCTCTTTTACTAATAAGGCCGTGGCTGCAAGGGCCCTGAGGCATGGGGGCCACCCAGAGGCAACCAGGTTAATCTGTTTGGAGAGGTAGGCTACTGGCCTCTGCCAAGGTCCCAACTCCTGAGTCAGAACTCCTAGGGCTACCCTGTTGTTTTCGTGAATGAAAAGTTTGAAGTCCCATGTCATATCTGGGAGCCCTAGGGCTGCACCTTGGTGAGCTTTGTCTTTATGGTCGCGAAGGCTTTTTCCTGTTCAGGACCCCAGTTAATGGGTGCCTTTTCCTCTCCTTTTAAGGCTTCATAGAGGGGCTTAGCTAGATCTGAGAATCCTGGGATCCAAATTTGACAGAACTCTGCTGCCCCTAGGAATTCCTGAATCTGTTGCCGGGTGCTGGGGACTGGTATGGCACATACTGCCTGTTTTCTTTCAGTCCCTAGTCTTCATTTCCCTTGGGTAATTCAGAAATCCCTCTGACAGATTTGAGCCTTCCTTTTGGACACCCAGTAACCTGTTTTAGTTAAGAATATTAGAAGAGTTCATGTTTCTTCCCAACACTGAGTTCACATGGAGCTAGCCAGTAGGAGGTCATCTACATATTTGAGTAGAACACACCCCATGTCCTGTTCTGGAAATTTGGACAAATCTGCTGCTAATTCTCCACTAAAAAAGTTGGGGAGTTCTTGAACTCTTATGGCAGTCTGGTCCAGGTGAACTGTTCCTTAGCCCCTATGGTTGGTTTTCCCACTCGAAGGCAAACAGGGGCTGACTGGAGGGTGGCAGGTGAAGGCAGAAAAAGTCATATTTTAGATCTATACATGTAAACCATTCCACTTCTGATGGAATGAGTCTCAGGAGGCTGTATGGATTTGGCAGCACCGAATGCAGGGTTATAACAGCCTCATTAATAGCCCACAGGTCTTGTACCGGGCGGTAATCATTGGTCCCAGGCTTCTTGACAGTAAGAGAGGGGTGTGCCATGGAGACTGACACTGCTTAAGAAGTCCCCATTGAAGCAGTCATTCTAGGTGGCCCTAGATACCTAGGCATATATTCCTTGGAATTGGATACTGGCAAAGTTTTACAGGCTGTGCTCCAGGCTTCAAGTCAATTAGCACTGGAGCATGGTTCTTAGCCAGACCCAGGGGATTTTCTTCTGCCTAGACCAGCAGGAATTCCTTCTCTAGTTCAGGCTTTAATGGTGAGTCCTTTTACTGGGAGGTATAAAGTCTCCATTTCTCCTCCCTGGGCACTGCTATGGACAGGATCATTGGGTAGGTCTCCTCACCTAAGCACAGTTGTGCTGAGCCATCTGGGGCAAAGGTGATTTTTGCTCCCATTTTGGCTAAAGGTCTCTGCCCACTAGAGAGACTGGACAATCTGGAAAGTACAGGAATTCATGAACCACCTAGTGGCTGCCTAACTGACATTGGTGGGGGTGCTAGAATGGTCTTCAGGTGTGGTCCCCAGTAGCTCTGATAATGGTGACTTCCTGTCCTGAGAGGGGAGCTACTATCTGAGTAACTACCGAGTCATCTGCCCTTGTATCAACCATAAAGTTCACAGTCTGCCCCCCAATTTTCATTTTGACCATGGGATCATGGGGGCCCAGTTGGAAGGATCTCCGTCTGTCCTAGTCAGAGTCGCTGCCACCAGTCCAATTAGGTCTGCCTCAGGTGGCTCTGGCTGATATCGACTGAGTGGTTTGGATGGCCTTCCCTGCTTCTTCTGGCAGCTCAGAAACTCATTCTTCCAGTGTCATAATTCTTTACAATAGGCACACTGGTCCCATTTAAGATCCATCCTCCCTTTTCCTGACTTGGCTCCTTGCTGTCTCCCTTTCCTGTGCTGGGAGCTAGCTTCTATAACAGCCACAGCAATCAGAGTCACTTTCCTTTTTAGTTTATCCTCAGCCTCCTTTTTAGCTGTATTGTCTTGATTAATGAAAACCTTGTTTGCTATTTCTAGTAGCTCGGTTGCATTCTTTCCCACAAAACCTTCAAGCTTCTGTAGCTTTCTCCTTATGTCTGGCTGAGCCTGACTGAGGCTGCATTGTCCATAGTTTGATTCTCTGAGGCCTCTGGGTCAAAGGGAGTGTAAACTTCACAGAGTCTCTCATAAAAGGCTGCTGGACTTTCATCAGGCCTCTGGGAAACCTCGGAGGTCTTGGCCATATTAGTGGGCTTCTTGGCCTCAGCTCAGAGCCCCTGGAGGAAGGCCAGGCAATATCTCTCTAATCTGGCCCTCTTGTCTTCTGAATTCGGGTTCCATTTGGGTTCCACATCTGGGAGAGCCTCCCTGGCCCATCTGTCTGTCTCTGGTGGGGCCTGGCTCTGGAGACATTTCTGAGCTTCTGTTATTATTCTCATGCTCTCCTCAGTGTTAAAAAGCATGAGAAGGAGTTGCTTCCAGTTGACCCAGGTGGGCTTATGGGTCTGAAAAATTGACTCCAGAAGGTCAACTATAGCTTGAGATTTCTCAGAATAAGCGGGAGTGTGATGCTTCCAATTTAAGAGGTCAGTCGTAGTGAAAGGCTGTGTACTAAAAGACTGATCCCCCCTCTTGTGGTGTCCCATTTTCTCCAATTATATGAGGACTCCGCATTTCTCAGAGAGGCATCTGGAAAGCTAGGAGTGGTTTGGGTCCCTGATCAGCTGATCACAAACATCATCCAACTGGCTCTAGAGCAGTGGTTCTCAACCTTCTGGCCCTTTAAACAGTTCCTCATGTTGTGACCCAACCATAAAATTATTTTCGTTGCTACTTCATAACTGTAATGTTGCTACTGTTATGAATCGTAATGTAAATATCTGATATGCAGGATGGTTTTAGGCAACCCCCGGGAAAGGGTCGTTCGACCACCAAAGGGGTTGCGAACCACAGGTTGAGAACTGCTGCTCTAGAGGGTCTGGTTGGTGGGAGATGGAAGAGGTGGTGTATCTAAACTTCCCTGGCTAGGCAAAGGGGCACTGGGTACTACTTGAGGCACATATGGAGGTGGTAGAATTGGCAGCGCTTCCTCA